CCTTAAATCGAAAGCATTATTTGATCCTTAAAAAATTCAAAATTTTAAAGAAAAAAAAAATATATTAAAAAATGTAAGACCGTAATTGGATTGATTTGAATACGAAACACGTTATAGCTGAGGAGAGGAAATACTTTCTTATAATCTAATTTAGTTCGTTGAATATTTACATTTGTTGATGCTTGAGGGGGATTCAACACTCAGCCCTTATAATTTATTCACTGGCTGTTGTACAACGCTGCCTGATAAAAGCAAACAACACTTTTTAAACTCAATAATCAACTTTACATTTCTCAGCCGGATTCAGTACCGTATTCCAATCGATGTCCAATGGATAACTCCAATCTCATCACTGACCTGGGATACATTAGGTAAGGGCGCGGGGAAAAATGGATTATAGAATGCAATCTGCTTTCTGGCTCCGTCACCCACTTCTCTCTCAATAGCCAAGTCTTGGATGAAATCAACCTCTGAAGGGATCGTACCAGGAGGAAAACGATTGGCGTCGCAGGTTACCGTGAACTGCCCTCCAATAGGAATGAATGGTTTGTCCACGATGCGTTGCTGTTGAGCGCAAACTGAAAATGGAAAATTTAAAACAAAAAAAGATTTTTTTTGTGTAGAAATCACGTTAGACTAAGTTTACTGTGTTCACTTTATTATAAAACTCAAAATCAAATATTAAAAGACCGCTTTCTAAGCTTATTTGAATCACTATTTATTGGTTCTTTACGGGCATCGAAGAAAAGGGGAATGAAAACTTAAGGAAATGCACGGTTCACGCGAACCGAAGAATGAAATCCTGGCAACGATGGCGGTTTAAATATCCACATCATAGACTCAATACTCAGTAGGGGGGAAAATGGGATTACACTAAAAGGTACCTACTGCACACGCTAACAGACACCTACTGCACACGCTAACAGATACCTACTGCACACGCTAACAGGTACCTACTGCACATGCTAACAGAACCTACTGCACACGCTAACAGATACCTACTGCACATGCTAACAGACACCTACTGCACACGCTAACAAGTACCTACTGCACACGCTAACAGGTACCTACTGCACACGCTAACAGATACCTACTGCACAAGCAAACAGGTACCTACTGCACACGCTAACATGTACCTACTGCACACGCTAACAGATACCTACTGCACACGCTCACAGACACCTACTGCACACGCTAACAAGTACCTACTGCACACGCTAACAGGTACCTACTGCACACGCTAACAGATACCTACTGCACAAGCAAACAGGTACCTACTGCACACGCTAACATGTACCTACTGCACACGCTAACAGATACCTACTGCACACGCTCACAGACACCTACTGCACACGCTAACAGGTACCTACTGCACACGCTAACAGACACCTACTGCACACGCTAACAGACACCTACTGCACACGCTAACAGACACCTACTGCACACGCTAACAGTAAACACGTTTAAAATATGCACAGCAGTGAAGAAAAATATTAACACAGCGACAAGAAATATATAGATGTTTTTTTTTTTTAAACAACTTAATTCTTAGTTTTAAAATGCATTTTAAATTAATAAAAGTCTCTAAATTCAAAATTATTGTTTAAATTAGTCAAGAATCGTTCTCCCCGGCACCCCCCCCCCCCGGGCAAGTCAAGTTTATTTTTTACTTAGTTTTTTTAATCAACATTATGTTAAATATAATGTACGAGAGAATGAATGAAAAAAAAATTATATAAAAAGTTATAATATAACAAATTGTTCACTTAAAATCGGGCAAAATATAAATCATATTTTAATGTCCTCCCAACACCATCGAACTCGGGAGATATCGGGGTGATATTTTACCAGTATAAGTGATTTAAACAATAAACAGATACCCTAACTTACCAGCTGTGAATAAGCCAGCAGTTAAAATGGCTCCAAGAAACTGAATGACGTCACACATGACGGACTAACCGAGAAGCTTATCCCTTTTTACCCTAAAAAAAAAATAAAGAAATACATGAACCATGGTGTTATCGTACTACATGAACCATGGTGTTATCGTACTACATGAACCATGGTGTTATCGTACTACATGAACCATGGTGTTATCGTACTACATGAACCATGGTGTTATCGTACTACATGAACCATGGTGTTATCGTACTGTCTTTATAGAGTAACCATAATACTGACATGTTTTCTTTGCCCACGACCTGTTCGTCAAGATATTTATTTGGAGGTGGTACAACGCGAACCCAGAACGGCAATGTAAAGGATCGGGCTGTCTTAAAACTAAGTCACGAATGGTGCTAAGTTTCGTTGGCTTGGGGTTTGAGTCAGTGAACCTTAGCCACAGAGGAAAACATACATTTTCCGGAGCTTATAAGTTCAATGTGTAGAGTGTACATATAATAAAATAATTGAAATTGTTTACATATTTAATTCATTGCCTTCACACCTAAGGTGCTCAAATAGCATTTGCGAAACATGACCTGCTGCGTTTATTAGTAAATACTAACAACGATATTGTCGGTATTTTATATTGTATATAATATGTATTGCTGCTGCCTTCTTCCTGACATGTTAATAATTAAAACTTTAGTAAGATGTTCATAACTTCCTGTCCGCCATTTTAAGGGTGACGTTGTTATTTAATAAAAAATGTTTCTGGCGCGTAAACAGAAACAATTTTTAAAAAAAAGTGTTTTACTCATAAAACTCGGACATCGGATAAGGATAAAATATAAATACATTAAAGCGGGAAAGCTCATGCATTTCAACGATGGGGGAAAAAATGTGCAAGACAACAAAAGGTATGAAAAACGAAAAAAAAAATAATTGGAAAAAAGATACAAAAACATTTACTTTAAAAACATGGTCCAGGATTAAGAACTTAATGGAACGCTGCCAGTATATCTTCTTCTTCTTCTATATCTTAAGGGCCCACGATCAATTTTTTGATCATTTTGGCTCCTGTGCATGTAGATGGGATTTGCAATGTTTCTGTTCCTGGTGTTGATGAGGAAATCATGCAATAGGGGTTTGAAAGCTTGAGGCAATAGGCACAAATGTGTCTAATGTTGTCGCCTCAACCGTTCCTTTTGAAAGATTGTTCCAGTCCCTGATTGTCTTGGGCAGGAATGAGCAGCACCTATACTGGCTTCTTGCTGGTATGAGCCTGAATTGCCTGTCATGGCCTCGTCGCTGTCTATGGGGGAGAAGGACGAGTTTCTGTTTAATACTGGTACAGTGGACCAGCCCATTATTTATCTTGTACATCATGGAGAGCCTGGATTGTCGTCGTTGTTTCTCCAATGGTGACCAGCCTAGTGTTTCTTAGTGATTCTTATTGTATAGCTACTACTGTGTTACCGATTCTAGTGTAACTCTGTACAACTGATTCGTGTCCTACTCCACGCTCCTCTCTTTTTTTCTTCATATGCTTTTCTACCCCGTCTGGGACATAGGCCGTCCACAAGAATTTCCCATTCATCACGGTCCTGTGCATTCCTTTCCAGTTAATTCCAGGTGTATCCCATGTTTTGCGTGTCTGCCTCTAGCTCCCGTCTCTCATTTGGATTTTCTCTCTTTCTTTTTCTGCTTCTTATTCTTTAAGTATCCTTTGCTACTAACTCTAGTACTACTCTGTGCCACTTAGTCTTGTGATAGCCTATGCTTCTGATTCAAGTGTTTCTCTGTGCCACTGATTCTTGAGCTACTATGTACCAAACATGTTAGTGATACTCTGTACAGTGGCGTAACGTTACATTGCGCAGCCCAAGGCAACTATGAATTTGCCCCCCCCCCCCTTTCGTAAAAAAGTACATATAAAATTAAATATTTATAGTGCTTTTTTTGATACAAGGAAAAGTGAAAATGACGAACCTGGAAATAGCGCTGTTACTTAGCACATTGAATAACTTGCCCCGAAACGAAATTATTTTTGACTTCATCAAATTAACAAATAAATGAGATAATTTATAATAAGTCTTGTAAACATTGAATTACTAACAGAAATAAAAGAAAGAATATCAGCCGGAATCAGGGTATACTTCAGTAGTCAGAAAATACTCAAAAGTAAAAACATTACAAGTAAAACATAGAAAACTATTTATATAACTAATCAAACCAGTTGTAACATACGCAAGTGAAACCTGGACCCTAACAAAAACAGCAGAAAACCTATTAAACACATGGGAGAGGAAAGTTTCTCAGGAAAATATATGGACCAAAAAAGGATGAATATGGATGGAGAATAAGAGCCAACCATGAATTGCACAGTCTATATCAGGATCCCACGATAGGAGCAGAAATAACAAAGGGCAGGCTACGCGCTTAAAACATAACATTTGAGGACATTTATAGACACTTGTAGAAATATAACATTTGAGGACAATTATAGACACACTTAAACATAACATTTGAGGACATTTATAGACACTTGTAGAAACATAAAAAAAAACATGAAAAGAACATTTACACAATAATCTTAAAACATTTAAACCCCTTAAAAAAATCAAACATACAAAATAATTTGTTGTCCCATAAATTCAATTAAAAAAACAAGTAATATATATATAGAAGCGTATAAAAGGTGGGCATGTTTTTTTTTGTATAGCAACACTACAATGAATTGTACAGACGAGCACAAGGATCAATAGCCCGGAGTCACAACGGCATCGCTAACACTCGCTTGTAATGTTAGAATGAATGAGTCAAACTTCCTTCCCCTAAACCTGTATTTTAAAATGAGTTTTTTCGTCTTTTCCAAAATTACTGTACGTTTCCATTATTTGGTGTTTTGATAATTAAATATTTTTGCATAGTCTGAAGAAAAGAAACTTTCCTCTCGAGCTTCTTCATATATCGTCACCAATTTCAACGTCTCTATTGAACAGCAAAATGTCGTCTGCCATTTGTTTTGTTTGATAGTTTATGAAGAGATCCCTGTTTTTGTTTTCTTTCTGTTTAGATGTTGGCATTTCATTTTTTTAAAAATAAAACGACGTCACCGTGGAAAATGGCGGACAGGAAGCCATCAGCAATGTTATTAAAGTTTCTTAAATAATATCCCAGGCGTAAGGGAGTTATTCTTATTATATAGAATATGAAAGATAGATTAATATATTTGTTCGTGTTCAAGGTGTGTAGGCAAGAGAATTTAGAGATGCGTACTTTTTATTCATAAGATGGAGATTATATATTTTAAGGAGACAGATTAAACATTGAATATAACCCAATCATTGTAATTACACTGCAGGTTGTAAAGATGTAGTGATCTCGACAAATATTTTCGGATAACATTTAATGTTAACAAATGTGCAGGCATAGACTTAAATATGCAAAGATTACACACTTTAATATGTTAAGTCTACACGTTTGTCCTATAGGGCCAGGGAGTTGTTTGAGTATGTGGCTATTGTGCAGTGACCCCCAAAACCTAAACACATTTGACCGCCACATCCATATTCTAGTCATGTTTTCATGCAGAGTCGGCTTTTACTTTGCCTTTTTTTTTTAATCATTTTTTTTTAATCACTGACCAAAGTTCATTAAAAACAGGAAAAGGGGCAGGAAAAAAACATGCCACTTAAGTTACTTACAATATTTTTCAGGGTAATAATATGTTAATCGTTTTACGTGCTTTCTCTACGACGTCATGAAGCTTCTGGGCGCCATTGTAACTGCTGGTCTATTCATTGCTGGTAAGTAATGTTATTGTTTAAAAAAAATATATTAATGTTGGTAATATGGCTGGTTACCGGAAATTTGATCGGAAGAGATAAACACTGACTTCACCCCCTGACAGCTCCATGAGCAGTTACACACGGAACAATGGTAAATGCTTCACCGTGCCTCGGTGTAATACAGTCCAATATAAACAATCATTCTTCCCACGGGCAATGATTGCTTGGAACCAACTGGACCACGGCGCCGTGGACTCGACATCAATCGAGAGTTACAAGGCTGCCCTGGCACCACCCGCTATGAGCGGTTAGGCTAGCCGCATCGCTTCCAAAACCGTTGCACATATGCCTAAACCAGGACTAAGCATTTCTATTGTCAAAGATTCATGTCGGTCCTTAAAGGACTGTACATTTATCAATTCAATTTGTATTTAACGTTCAGGTTTGAATGTGGCCTACTTATTCTAAAGTTGCAAGAAACGGGCCTTGATTGGCCTGTACAATTTCGAAATGATTAGCCACAAATCGATAGGGTGATTGAACTTTTTAAATGGGATTACTAAAATTGTAACATTTTGCAAAGAAGTATACCTCACAGAAGCCTATATTTTGATTGTTTGAACCCTTAATTATCACCGTAATACAAATGGTTAAGAGTATAGCCACATGTTTTGTAAGTATTTTAAATAAATGAGTTCATTCAATCTAAATATTTTAATAAACTCATTAGTGTAACAATGACAACTTATCAAGGTCTAGAAGACATGCAAGTCTTATGAGACTGCTCTTGGGTTTGGCCCTGAGAATGATTTATTTCTTAGAAGTTAGTATTTTGCATTTGCCTTTCTTTCTTCTCCAGCCCAGTGTCAGCTCTTTGACAAGTCAGAGTTTGGAGACGGAGGGTCATTCAATCTGACATGTGACGTCGGCCGGATTGGCAATGTTCCAACGTCTATAACAAAAATTTATTATTTGTCCATTGAGATGGCTATAGTTTCAAGTGCAAAAGTTAAATTCATTGCTGTATACCAATCAGTTCCAAAAGAAAGCCTTGAAAGGGTAAGGGTTTAAATCATGATCTCATCATTCATAATCTCATCATTCATGATCTCATCGCTCATTACAGACACCTCTTTAAATCGCAATCTCATTTCTCCCGTAATTTAAGGCAAATGATAAGAACTTTATCGATGAGTTTTTCACCACTACAGAGTTAATTTAAGAAGTCTGCTATTTATTTTTATGTTTGCGTTATGTTTAATGGTAAACCCGATCCCGCCTACATACACATGTCTCTGTTTATAAATATTCTTGTTTTTTTTCTTTTTCTTAATTAATATGGACTTTATTAACGTCGGACTGTAATATGACGTATAATGCTGCATCATTATTCCTATAGTTCTTAAACGAAGTGTTTGGAGATTTTTCAGATTTATTTTTCAGAACAACCTTAGAGGATGCACACAATTACGTTTATGTCAATAATATGTTTAAAAAAAACAACCTATATCATCATGTATTTATGGTATTTTTTCTTCTTCAGTATATTCCAAATGGTAGGCCATGGGTAATTGAAGGTACTGGTGGTTCAGGCAGCAACAGAGCATCGATAAAACTGACACTTTATGTGCCAGATGCTCAATGTTCTGATGCAGGATTATACCGCTGCAATGCTGGCTTTCGTCCAACAGATGGCGGTGCAGTAGCGAGCTGCTCTCAGAATATTACATTTAAAGGTGAGTTGTTTTTTTTTTAATCGCTCTTTTTTTTTTGCATGACAGATCTCATGTTCAGATTAAGCGAGCTGACATAAGACGTCTTATGAAATCATTCGTCTCTACCATTCCTGGTTTGTGGTCTGCTGGGGTCGGGGGGGGGGGGGCAGAAAAAAACGTTTTAAAGGCATACAAAAAAGCCCCACTGAAAGAGTTCAATATAAACCCAGAAATGGGGGAGGAAAAAGCAAGGGATCGAACATCATGGCGTTCCACTTTACACAGCAGCTCCATGCAACGTGAAGTTAGCAGTTGTTGCAGAGCTCAAGAAAACCGGCCTGACTCTGCTACGGGAGATTCCCCATCATTCCCCTGCACCTACTGCACAAGAAAATTTCATGCCAGACTCGGCCTCATCAGCCATCTGCGCACCCACAGACAGAACTAGCAGGAATATGAAGATTAAAGTGGTCATGGTCGACTTCCGACTGATTAACAATAACACGACCTTTGAGGATCTCGAGATTTTGATGCATTGTATTATCGATTCCCCCTAGCGTCTATCACCATTGTTGACGCAGATTATTTCTACTATATATTAACATACTGTTGTAAAGTAAGATTAAAGTAATTTATTTGGTATGATAATCATGGAATAGAAACACAACTGAACAACGGCTTTAAACAAAACTTTTGTTTTAAATCGTGTTTATGAGATTTAAAAAAAAAATTATTTCATTTATACAACTATTCTATCATCTAACTCGCTTATATAACTTATCTTATTGCATCAAATATTTCAGGAAAAAATTAAGCTCCATATGCACATACGATATTTTTTTTAAGAGTCTCATTTCGTGCTGTTATCGGGATTTTTATTTCGTGTAATCGGTGGAGGCATCTTTCCTTAATTTTCCGGATGAAAAATTGGAGAAAAAAACTGATTGTTGGGGGTGGGGGTGGGGTGGGGTGGAATTAGTATTGGTGGTGGGGCTGAAAATATGATTGTGCCGAGTGTCAGCTCGATATGTCCACGAGAAGTTGTTCAGTTAGCCTACCGAAGATTTCGACCCATACACAAACAGCCAGAAATAAACACAGTAACAAAAGAGAGGTTAATATAAAGGATTAAAAAAGGAACAGGAAAAGAATGAAAAGATGCATTCTAATACTAGTACTTCAGTTTCTTTAAAAATAAAAATGCTTCAATGTTTATTTGTGTTTAAGTGTTTGTGAAAAATTTATCAATTTCTAAGGGCAGTCGAAATACTTATCGTACATCTGCCATATATGAAACAATATTATTATTTTTCTTTACGTGAAATACATTGTCCTTTAATTTCATTTTTAAAAATTGATTTATCATTTATTTCACTATCTATTTGAATTTTTTTAGTGAAATATCTAATTAACGTTATAGACATCTGTTAAAATCCAGGTCTCTCTTTGTAGGCTTTTTGTTTGGTGGGTTTTTGTCTGGAGGGCTTATGTCTGGAGGGCTTTTGTCTGGAGGACTTTTGTCTGGAGGACTTTTGTCTGGAGGGCTTTATGTCTGGAGGGCTTTATGTCTGGAGGGCTTTTGTCTGGAGGACTTTTGTCTGGAGGACTTTTGTCTGGAGGGCTTTTGTCTGGAGGGCTTTTGTCTGGAGGGCTTTATGTCTGGAGGGCTTTATGTCTGGAGGGCTTTATGTCTGGAGGACTTTTGTCTGGAGGACTTTTGTCTGGAGGACTTTTGTCTGGAGGGCTTTTGTCTGGAGGGCTTTTGTCTGGAGGGCTTTATGTCTGGAGGGCTTTATGTCTGGAGGGCTTTATGTCTGGAGGACTTTTGTCTGGAGGACTTTTGTCTGGAGGACTTTTGTCTGGAGGGCTTTTGTCTGGAGGGCTTTTGTCTGGAGGGCTTTTGTCTGGAGGGCTTTATGTCTGGAGGGCTTTATGTCTGGAGGGCTTTTTGTCTGGAGGACTTTTGTCTGGAGGACTTTTGTCTGGAGGACTTTTGTCTGGAGGGCTTTTGTCTGGAGGGCTTTTGTCTGGAGGGCTTTATGTCTGGAGGGCTTTATGTCTGGAGGGCTTTATGTCTGGAGGACTTTTGTCTGGAGGACTTTTGTCTGGAGGACTTTTGTCTGGAGGGCTTTTGTCTGGAGGGCTTTTGTCTGGAGGGCTTTTTGTCTGGAGGGCTTTATGTCTGGAGGGCTTTATGTCTGGAGGACTTTTGTCTGGAGGACTTTTGTCTGGAGGACTTTTGTCTGGAGGACTTTTGTCTGGAGGGCTTTTGTCTGGAGGGCTTTTGTCTGGAGGGCTTTATGTCTGGAGGGCTTTATGTCTGGAGGGCTTTATGTCTGGAGGACTTTTGTCTGGAGGACTTTTGTCTGGAGGACTTTTGTCTGGAGGGCTTTTTTCTGGGGGGCTTTTTGTCTGGGGGGTTTTTTGTCTGGGGGGCATTTTGTCTGGAGGACTTTTGTCTGGAGGACTTTTGTCTGGAGGACTTTTGTCTGGAGGACTTTTGTCTGAAGGACTTTTTGTCTGGAGGGCTTTTTGTCTGGAGGGCATTTTGTCTGGAGGGCTTTTTGTCTGGAGGGCTTTTTGTCTGGAGGGCATTTCTGGAGATTAATTATCCAATGTTAAGTACTAACAATACATTTACACTGATATCTTATTTAAGTCCTAAGTAATTTTCTCATTATGGGATGTTTTAGTCATATTTAAAAAAAATTATTCTGATGAGACTTTTGTGTTCATGAAGCAGTAGACCAGATAAATATGTAAACATAAATATGCAAAATTTCCAAAACACTCATATAATGCACGGAGAATGTATCCGTGCGCACATCTTTACATGGGGTTGATATGAAAATAATAACAGCAAATAAATGTCTCGTCAAATAGTTTACAACTAATATTTCCTCTTTTGTATTCTAGGCACTTGCAACACAGGCACGCGTTTGGGCGCTGTGGACTCCACACGGTTTGTTAGGAAATTGTTCCTGATGCAGACAGTAATGTTCCTATGGCCAAGACTTCTCTAGAGTCACCTGGACAAGAAATGTTACCCAGGTGGCTCCCTCGAAAGATGTAGATTGGCATTTTCAAGATGTAAAAGGACACCCGAAGATGTATCTCATTGATTACTTGACCCGCATGTTATATATATTACGGTAATTAAATAGTTTACTGCCACTGTTCTTCGTGTTGTTATTTCTCAGTGTAGTTCAGGTCGTTTAGCTGTTGTCTCCACACAGGATGAAAGCTTTAATGTTGGCGATTACGCATGGCGAAAAACTAACAGGCGTATACTTTTTATAATTATTCAAAATATTTAAGTAAAATCATCAGTTGCTTAAAATAAGAACTTAAATAGCGTAAATGAGATTACGAGATTACGACAGCCATAAATATTGACTCACGCTTATATCAGGACAATAGACTTTGCTATATAACCTGCTATAGAACAGATCCTGCTATAGAATAGACCTTGCTATAGATTAGACTCTGCTAAAGAATAGACCCTGCTATAGACTCTGCTATTGATTCTGCTATACACCCGACTATAGACCCTGCAATAGACCTTGATAAAGAGTAGACCCTTCTATAGAATAGACCCTGTTATGACCCTGCTATAGATCCTGCTATAGATCCTGCCATAGAATAGACCTTGCTATAGTTTAGACCCTGCTATTGAACAGACCCTGCTATACCCCGTGCCATAGACCCTTCAATAGACCCTTCCATAGACCCTGCTATAATCCTTGCTTTGGACAGATGAATGGTGGAGTGGATGAGTGAGTAAAGGATCAGATGAATGGTGGAGTTGGTGAGTGAGTAATGGGATATTTTTATGGTGGAGTGTGTGAGTGAGTAATGTGATAGTTTAATGGTGGTGTGTGTGAGTAGGGAATTGAACAGTTGAATGGTGGAGTGGGTGTGTGGAAAATGGGACAGTTGAATGGTGGAGTGATTGAGTGAGTAATGGGGATAGTTTCATGGTCGTGTGTCTGAGTAAGTAATTTTGTGTGTAACAGAAGGATACAGTTCATTGTTGGAACACATCCTTATATCAATGGAGACTACGCAATATATAGCCCGGAGACGTCCAGCATCCTGAACTTTCTGCAAGCTTTTGTCAATGTCAACAATTGATGTAGCGATTGTAATTTTTGCACGTAAAAGACTGTGACAAATGTACATTATTTTTCCACTATTTCTATTAAAAAATTATTAAATCTTAATTAATTTTAATCGTTTAATCAAAGCAATTTAATTAATTTAAGTCACAGGAAGAATTACATTACTAATTTGCTGGAAGTGTGTCCTTTGGCCCTAGACATATGAAAAAATACGAAGTCATTTCGTAGATTGATAAGGTCAATTAGCTTTATTTTTCTTGTAAATTGTTCCGTTTACTTTTAAAAGTTTTTTTTTTTAATTGTTAAAGGGAAAGGAAACTTTTACACGCGTAGGAGTAGATGCGACACTTTTATAGTGAAGTGTTTACCAGTGCTGGGAAACAAACTATGTCAGATCAAAAAATCTCAGTGACTCTCGTTAGGCCATGACAATAAGCTCGGTGATCCTTGTGTATGATCCAGTTATGCAAGGTGGAGGGATTGGAGAAAGTGTTTGACATTTATTTGGTAACAATTTGATAGGCCACGGCGATGATCACGGGTGATCCTTTTCTATAATCTAATTTCTTGAGATCGGGGGGTGGATTTGGGAAATAGGGTGAGATTTAGTAAGAATTCGATGGATGGAGTTTCTATGAGTTAAAATTCAATTGGCTGAAAGATAATCTACTAGGGTAATCAATTAATTTACTGCCCTCTCAGATACTTCTTCTCAGCTAAGTGCTATTGAAAAAAAAATATTCATTTTTTTTCTGTTGTTTGTTCACTGACGAAGGCTTCCTTCCGACACATTCGGCGTTTTGTTGCGTTCTTTTTTCAGGTTTAACCTTATTTTGTCTTACTTATTTCATAAGATAATACTGCTTCGGTTGAATGTTTCTTTTCTTTTTTTTTTTATATTATTTTAAAATTCATGAAGACTTTTACTCAAACACACAGACAAGTATTTATGAATAATGAAGATATAAATGGCTACACGGCCCTAACAGAACAATAATTTCAAGCCAATAACAGAAGATAGCGCTAGATGGGTACGACAGCTCCAAATTTTCTTTACGAAAAAAAAAAGAAAATCACTAGTTCTAGAATAAGTGGCACACGGTCACAGTAGAATCAACTATAGCCTTGGTATCTGTAAGACAGGACTGGCACCAGAGACAAGTGACAGCACAAGAATCATTGGCACAAGTTAGCACTGGAATACATGAAATAGATAGAGGCGCAAAGAATAGCACTAGAGTCAGGGCCACAGAGTAACGTTAGAAGAAGTTAATTTTAGTTCTCAAGCCTAATCCTTGTTCTATGAATGCATTATTCCTTGTTTGTTTTTTTTATATTTTAATTTCTAATTTTTCATAAATTTACAATTTTTGTTATGGGAATTTAATATATTTTTCATCTTTCAAGCGCAAAATATTTTCCCATTTTCCTTTATTCATATTTTAGCCCGACAAGTTGTCTGTCTATAATCGCTAGATTAGTTTGCCCCCATTTAAAAAAAAAATTAATTTATGGTATAATCACTTCTTAAGGTTGTTTCGGTGTGTGTGTGCCCTGTTGCTTTTTAAAAAAAAATAAAATGATGACATCTTTAATAAAATGGCGGACAGGAAATCACAAACGTCTCCTTAAAGTTTGTTACTTGCTAATCGTCTATGCACATCAACTTTGATTGGTAAGATACACTTTGATTTATAAGATACATTTTGATTAATAAGATAAACTTAATCAATTATAAATTATTCACATTGTAAGTAAACCTTGATACAAAATCTAATCAAGGATAAAAAAGAATTGTGTAAAATGTCAATCGAGTTTTCAATAATATTATTGAATAAAAATGCAGGCTAATTTAGTACCAAAATATCTAGACTTAGGTGTTGTGACTTGTGTCCAGTATATTTTGTCCATCTGACCGTCCACCAATACCAACGCATTCACAACACATCTCTCATGACTATTTAGGCTAAACAACCTCCGCCCCCTCTCCCTCTCTCTCCCTCTCTCTCTCTCTCTCTCCCTCTCTCTCTCTCTCTCTCTCCCTCTCTCTCTCTCTCCCTCTCCCTCTCTCCCTCTCTCTCTCTCTCTCTCTCTCCCTCTCCCTCTCTCTCTCTCTCTCTCTCTCTCTCTGTCTCTCTGTCTCTCTCTCATACACACACACAAACACACACACCACAATATCGTCTCCGACAGACAGATGCCTAAAAACACACCATCTTCGGCCAAAACACACCATCACCATCGAACATACTTGCAGAATGAAGATTCTAGTTAATTGCATTCAGCCATCCAATTGCACTGATAGATTGGTTTTGATTAGTAGCATTTATTTTTTTTTAAATCCCAAGGGACAAAAATCCTCTGAACGCTGACAAGCCGTACTATTTATGTCTAGACTTTGGTTTGACAGACGCCAGGAAGGTGTGTGATTTGCTCTGGCCGTTGTGTTGTGGCCTCATCCATAGAAAACCGTGTCCATCCATCCATCCCTGTGGCGTCACAGCCTATATAGGGCTTCGGCCTGCCTCACCACTTCCTTCCACTCCGACCAGATGGATGCTTTTCTATTCCATGTTTGGATTCACAGCTGCTGAGATCCCTCTCTACACCATCCACCCATCTAAGACTGGGCCTTCCTTTGAACCGTTTTGCTCTGGGGTTTTGGTGATATACCCTCTTCACTCGTCTGTCATTTGGCATTTTTTCTAAGGGAGTTTCATGCCTACTGTAGTAATTCGTTTCTTTCATTGGACAAAGATCCTAGGTATTTGAATTGATTTACTTGTTTTTTTAAGCCTACATTATAATTTTAATGGGTTCATCTGCCCGTTCGTCTCGTATCATAGACATGTATTTTGTTTTTTGGTTGTTAAGTTCTAGCCCTGCTTGTAGTGATGTGTCTTCTAATTTTAAAAAAAAATGGCTTTTGATATGTCTTTACTAGTTTTCCCTTACTGTGATATGGCATCAGCATTTGGAAGGTACTGAAAGGGTCTATTGTAGGAAAGGCCTATTGGTTTTGGGTATTGGGTGTCCCTCAGAAAGTATCCTGTTATAGTTCTCTCTGGAATGCATAGGTTAAGGAGCATACAAGACAGCGAGTCTCCTTGTCTTAAGCCTCGTCTAATCTTAAATTCCCTTGAATATTAACCCTGAACCTTAATTTTGCTTTTTAAGATGTTTTAATGCTACATGTTTCCAATTTTGCCAGTTTTTTTTTGGGATATGCTAAACTACTGCAGAGACTCATATAGATATTTTCTTTTGATGCTGTCATAGGTCATTTTACAGTCCACATAGAGTTAATGTACTGGGACATTATATTCGTAAATTTCTCTGATAGGCACCTGATGGTGAACATCTTCTCATTCGTTGGTCTGTTTAATCTGTATCTACATAGGTAGTCACCTAGTATTTCTTAGTCCACCACATTCATATCTCTGCTTTCGTATAAGTGAGCGTCTTCTTTGCCTTTTGTATGCTCGTTGTCCTCTCACCGACTTAAGATATTTACATACAGGCAAGTGCAAAGAAAACATTTCCCCATCAGTTACTTTAATAAGATGGACAATAGTAGTTGTTTTTTTTAAATTTAATTTCATTGTAGGGTACTGTAAATTCGTTTAGGTGAGTCCGTCATTTGTGATGCCATGCATGTGTTCAGAGCCATTCTATCTGCTGGATTATTCATTGCTGGTAAGTTACGGTAAATATTTATTGTTCAGATTACTAATAAGGGTAACATAATCACCCTAAGATCACCCGAGTGATGGAACATTTAATTATGCTTCATATTATTTCCGATTTAAAGTTGAATTTTTAAAAACTTTTTAGGTATGTATTTATTTTTTTCCAGCAATTTCTCTAACATTATACTTGACTTAATCGTGAATCGAATTCTCACAAAAAGATTAAAGATAATGTGTCAATAAGTTTGCTGGGATAAAGTATCTAGATTAACTCCAAACTTGAATTAGCAAGCTTTTCTTTTTTTTAAAAAAAAACACTATTTAACTAAAAAAAAGACATGTTCATATAATATTCTTTGTATTTTCTTGTCGGGTCGTACCTCTAAGCACAATTTAAGCACTTTATTTGTTGTTGCTAGTAGGCACAGTTGGCATCTTTTAGCGTGATCGCAGTATCTCCCCAGCATCCCCCCTCCCCTTCCCCACATATTTTTTTGGCTATAATTAGTCTGTTAGACAGGGATTTAAATAGCCAGCAGCATTCTGATTTTATAGTCTCTTGTTTTGGGTGGTATGTAGGCCGGGTATTGTTTGTACACGTATGTGTTTTTCCCTCATTCTTTCAATATCTTCGAAAAATGATGACGTCACTCACTCATTTTTTTTTTTTTTTTGATGTTGTTTTCTACATAAAAATCAATTTAATCCTAATACCTAGGAGACTTAATCTTACAGAAATCTTTACAAGCTTCAACTAGCATATTGAAAGAATTTTGCTATCTTTGCTTTAAAAATAGTGATTAACAGATCGTTGTTTTAATGAATGTTTGTCTTATCCCACGTGTAGTGGAATTAAATGGAGAACCCTTAATGTGAAATGGATAAGCACTGTACACTATTGCCTGCCTATGACTCTTCAGCAGGAACACACATTTCGATTGTCAAAAGATTACGTCTATTTTTACCGACTGTATTAAAAAAATGTAATTATACTTAAAGTGCAGGTTTGAGTGTAGCCTACTTACTCTAAATTTGCAAGAAACGGCGCTTGATCGGTCTGTGCAATTTTGACATGATTAGCCACAAAACGATAGGGTGATTGAGCTTTTTAAATTTAGGATGACTACAATTGTAATATTTTGCAAAGATGTAGACCTTACGATATCCTATATTTTAATTGTATGATCCCTAAACTATCATCCTCATACAAAGATTAAGAACGTAGCCGAATGTTATGCAACATATTTTTAATGAATGCATTCAATCTAAATATTATGTAAAGTTATTAGTATAACTCTAACAACTTATCTAGGCCTTGAAGACATGTAAGTCTTATGACACCGCCTTTTGGATTTGGCCCCGAGAATGATATGATACGTCGTTTCCTAGTGTTAGTGTTCTGCATTTGTCCTTTTTTCCCCTTCTTCTCCAGCCCAGTGTCAACTCTTAGACAGGTCAGAGTTTGGAGACGGAGAGTCATTCAATCTGACATGTGATATTAGAAGGATTGGCAACGTTCCACAGGAAGTGACAAGAATTAATATTTTGTCCATTGAGAGAGCCGTGGGCTCAAGTACACAGGCTGCAGATATTGCTATATACTCTTCGATTCCTTCAGAATACCTTCAAAGTGTAAGAGATTAAGACATGATCTCATCATTTAATGACAATGGAGCACAACGGCATCGTTCATTTCTCTTCATTCAACTCAATATGGATTTTGTGTAATGTCAGACACCCCTTCAAATCTCAATCTCATTTCTCACAACATTTTAAGAAAATTATAAGAACTTTATCAATGAGTTGCTCACCACTGTAGAATTAATTTAAGAAGTCTCTCATTTATTTTCAAATTTGTGTTATATTTTAAAGTAAATACGGTCCCTCCTGCATTCATATGTCTCTGATTATAATTGTTCATAATCGTTTTTCTTCTTAATCATTATGGACTTTATCAATGTCTGACTCTGATATTACTTTTAATGTTTCATAATCATTCATCGAGTTCTTGTTTTTAAGTATTTGGATATTTTCAGATTTTTTTTTCCAGAACAGCCTTAAAGATGTAAAATTATTGCTGTTTGTATCTATTAATAGTATAATATTTTCAAAAAAATATCTTCATCATCATGTATTTATGTGTTTATTTTTCCTTCAGTATATTCCAAATGGTAGATTGTGGGTGATTGGAGGATCTGGTGGGAGAGGCTCCGACAACAGGGCAACGATAACACTGACACTTTATGTGCCAGATGCTAAATGCTCTGATGCAGGATTATACAGCTGTGACGCCGGCTTTGCTCCAGTAGGTGGTATTTCGGCAGCCAGCCGTTCTCAGACAATAACATATAAAGGTGAGGTTGCTTTCTTCATTGGTCTTATTGGGTGAGTCAGGCCCCTGGTTTAGATTTACAGAGCTTGAATGAGACGTCTTTTTGAACTTATTCGTTTCTACCAGTGCTTGTTTGATTCTCCATGTTATTACAATTATCAACCGTTTCATGATAAAAGAGGCCTACTCCCGAGACTTAGTGTTGCTGATTAGGTTGACCTACTTTTGAAAGTCCGCAGCCTAAATGCCCAAATTTATTTTTGTTCCTAGCATTGATTTTCTTCTCACACAGTTGCCATCTGGCCTTGATTTTCTTCGCACACAGTTGCCATCTGGCCTTGATTTTCTTCTCACACAGTTGCCATCCGGCATGCCCACTCTCATTTAGATACACAATATTTGTTGGACGTGTCAGTGGAAATAGTTTATACTGATAAATTTCTCCATCTCTCCATCTTTCATGCATTCACTTTAACGATGAGGGTAGATGAAGAGAGGTGGAGTGAAAATGTTGGTTTTAGTGAGATTGTGACGCAGAATTTGATCGTGTGAACTGAACATAAAATTCGACCAAAATTCCGTTCGATCAACCTCCCGTCGACGAAATTTCTTTCAAACAAATTTCCTGAAAAGAATTTATTTAGTATGCTAAAAAAAACACCCTAGAAACGCAGCAACGTGTCAAGGGAATGAGAGAGGAGTCGGGGAAGAATATACAACATTCTAGTACTTGGGTTATTTAAAAGCTTATTTCAATGGTTATAACCGATTACTTATTGCTCAACATTAGAGCCATTGGTATCGACCAGCCAATCCCCGATTTCGGTCACATCGGGTACTTACTGACCAAATTGGGACAAGGTAAATCTAGTCTTGATTAAAAAGATTTTTTGGCGCAAAATAATGACTTTGAAGGACATTTTGTTTTAAAAATGTACAAACAATTGATCTTTTCTCATTGTAACTGTAAGACGCCATTTTTTTAAAAAAAAGATACTCAAACGGGAAGGTTACATAGATCGGAAGTGGAAGACCTACCGGTCAGTCTCACATCAGCACATCACATTTTCGAACGGGGATTCCAGCCGTTTCTAGCAGTGGCTGGTCAAAGCAGCGTATACACTGGTCATTCAGAGCTGTCCTTCTCTTAGATGAGTTGCGCTCCAAGGCTTATGAGTCCCATCCACCCGGGGTGGTTTGAACTCGAGACCACCAGCTACTTGGTTTGAGACAGTTTAGACCACTCGGCCACCCGGCAACCAAGTTGCCAAAGTGTGAAAAAAGTCAACAATTTAAGAAATAAGCTGAAATTCGGGTTTAGACAGTAACATGATATATAAATAAGCCTAGTAATTTAAAAACAAATGTGTTAATTTTTTTTAATTCGAACTTACTTATAACGAAATTATTATTTTTTCATCTCTAGACTAAGAGATACACGCGTTTACCCAGTTATTCTAGTTTCGTAAAACTATGGTATGATGTTTTGTTTTGGTTGTCTAGGTGAGTATTGTTTGCAGTAGATAGTCATAATAATCAAGCATGTACAAAATGTATTTAAAGTGAGCGCCTGTTGGAGAAACACACAAAGAATCTCAACAGCTTTTACATCATCTTAACAAATTATTTTAAAGAAATCGAATTGTTTGTTTATTTATCATTTGGTTACTGTCCACCCAACAGCGAGAACAGAGGCACCAGTGCTTACATTGGACCACCACAATGGCAATGCATCTGACTTCCACACTAGCATGAAGGGACAACTTGTCAAATTAAGGTGTACCTTTCAGGTAGGTAATAAAACATGTATTTTAAAATCAAAAGTATTTTTATGTTTTAAAAAAAGTCAATTTTTCCAAATTATACTATTTTTCTTACGTAATGTGGACCAAAGTATTTTTTTAGCAATGGTTTACCTTTGTAACGTAAAATATTGTGATGTCAATTATTTATAGACAAATCAATTTTATTACCGGTAATTATTATTAAACATTTAATTATCTTTTACCATATATTTATATATAAGAAAATAAATAATAAATATAGATAGTGTTAATGAGTTGAAATCGACAATGACCAACTGAATGATTACTTTAGCTAATTGTGAACTTGGCCCTGGGTGCGCAGATGGCTGAGTAGACCGGTTCTGCCACGATATGTCCTTTTTGCAGAATTAACCAGGGATCTTCTGGCATGTCTGCTGTTCTCTTCAGCCGCTATTCTGTTGGCTCTGTGTTGCATGGAGCCATGGTGTAAAAAGAAAAGACACGATCTTCAATCCTTGGTCTCGTCACTTCCAATGTGTCCGTGTCTATATCGCACGCTTTCAGTGAGACTTAAGTGTGTCTTTAAAGCAATTCAACTGTCCACTAGCAAATAGCCCTCCATACTTTAAGAGCTCCCCATAAATTATTCCTTCTGACGCGCGGTCTTCTGGCACTGGCACAATTTATCCCGCCAGGCGAATCTGGGACTGCATCAAAGTGGTAAAGGTGCTGTGGAGACATTCCTGTGAGAGTGCATCGGTGTCTGGGACCATGGCCCACTATTTCTTCTTCTTCTTCTTCTATATCTTAAGGGCCCACGATCAATTTATTGATCATTTTGGCTCCTATGCATGTAGATGGGATTTGCAATGTTTCTGTTACTGGTGGTGATGAGGAAATTATGCACTAGGGGTTTGAAGGCATTTGATGTTTAGGATTGTCGCATGAAATTCGATCAACATTGTTGCATGGTGTTGATGGGCTGTCCGTGTTTCCTGTGCGTAGAGAGCTACGCGGAGGACATCCGCCTTGTATATTTCATTTTAGTTTGAGTGATGGTACTTCACCTGGTCCATACATTCATGGGCAATGCGCCATAGGTTGCACTGGCGCTCGCAGTTCCGGAAGTTAACCTCGCCATCGATGGTACCTCTTTGGGACAGTGTGCTGCCAAAAGTCAGGAGAATCTATTGACCACTTTAAGACTTTCGCTGCACACTTTCACGTTGTGGCTTCGAGGCATTGGTTTGGTAAAGGACCTCAGTGTGTTCATTGTGATATTGATGTTTTTGGCAAGCATTGGAGTTATTAAAAACACCGTGCTGTCTATCATGTTCCGTTCCAGCGTTTAGGGCCAACATAAACACATATATTGATAAAAGTTAATTTTTGTGTGTGAAATAGTACGAATCAGTTTTAAAAAATGGCGATATAACAATATCATTGGCTCTCTTTGTATACTTCATCTTTTATCAGGGTTCAATGGGTCTTGGAGTTACCTGGCTGACCGGTCCTAGCGGAGGAACCAACTATGCGACCGTTCCGTTGGACCATGATATTACGACGGTGACACCCAGGCCTACCAGTGACCCTTGTTTTTACGGCGAATATGTGTCCACCTTGACGTTCAAGGTACCTGGTGTTGACACTACGTACATTTGTGTGGTGAAAGATGGTGATGATGAAGCCACCCGAAAGAACTTCAATATTGTTATTAAACCAAGTAGGCCAAACCATTTTTAAAAATTAAGTAATATTTTTTATAACTTCTCTTTTTAAATAATGAATAAATTATATCATTTGCAGATGTTAAAAAGTTAGTTCGTCCATGAAAAAATCGATCATTAAACATTTTAAAAATAGTATTGGTTATTGGGTTAAACTGGCTCTGGGTGATTGGGATAAATTTGGATGGGGGTGCTAGTAATGAATGTGGCCCTGGGTACTGGGGCTGAATCTGGCTGTGTGTGCTGGGGATGAATCTAAGTGTGGGTGCTGGGGTTGAATCTGGCTTTGGGCTGGGGCTGAAAAGGGCTATGGCTGCTGGGGGTGAATCTGACTGTGGCTGCTGGGGGTGAATCTGACTGTGGGTGCTGGGGGTGAATCTGACTGTGGCTGCTGGGGGTGAATCTGAGTGTGGGTGCTGGGAATAAATTTTTCTGTTTGGGATTGGGCTGAACTGGCTGTCTGTGCTGGTGTTGAATCTTTCTGTGGATGATGGGGCTGAATCCAGCTGTGTGTGCTAGGGTGTGCTGAGGGCTGATCATGCCGTTTGTGGAATGCAATTTTCTTGTAAAAGGTCTAGGGGATGCGTGGGATATGTCAAGGTGCGGAGTTCACTCTGTTTAAATTTTGTTGTTGTTGCTAGACACCAGCTATTATGTTAGCCTCGTGTTGCATGAAGCCTGTGTGCAGGGGGAGCGCCACGTGTCTCCATGCAGTTCTGACAGTTCCATTGTGTTCGGGTTCATTGTGAAGAGCTGAGAATTGGGGTTTTGAGTGTGTCTTCAAAACTCTTATGATGTACCCCATGCCGCCAAATCAAACCGCTTTCCCTGATTAAGTTTTCATAACAATAGAATTATAACAAAGGGACACAGAAAAAAACAATAGAATTATAACAAAGGGACACATACCAAAACAATAGAAACATAACAAAGGGACACAGACCAAAGCAATAGAAACATAACAAAGGGACACAGACCAAAACAATAGAAACATATCAAAGGGACACAGACCAAAACAATAGAAACATAGCAAAGGGACACAGACCAAAACAATAGAAACATAGCAAAATGACACAGACCAAAACAATAGAAACATAACAAAGGGACACAGACCAAAACAATAGAAACATAACAAAGGGACACAGACCAAAGCAATAGAAACATAGCAAAGGGACACAGACCAAAACAATAGAAACATAACAAAGGGACACAGACCAAAGCAATAGAAACATAACAAAGGGACACAGACCAAAACAATAGAAACATAACAAAGGGACACAGACCAAAGCAATAGAAACATAGCAAAGGGACACAGACCAAAACAAAGGATGCATAAAAAAAATTTAAGTTCATGGGTCAATTTCTTCTGGTAATAATTTTTTGTTGGCGTAAAAAAATATGCACTACTCTTTACCGATCATGTACTACTAAAAATTTGATCAATTACTAACTACATTTCCAATTCGTATAGTACTTTTTACATAGTGCCTCAGCTTTGAAACATATCAAATATATTGTCTGATTTATGTGGATTTAATGATAAGACATTGATATTTCTTTTTTTTTAAATTAAAGATTTAATCTCAACTTTTAATTTTTTAAGCAAGTTAATGTAATGATCAAAACATTTTTATATAGTTACAATTATTGATTTGTTCCTAGTTCGATCTCCTTTTGGTCTGACTAAAGTGCCCCCCCCCCGGCCCGCCACTCTCTTAGTCCCCTACTATCCACCCCAACCCCACCCCACCCCCAGTCGTTAGGGTGGGTCACTTATTTGACGGAAATAGTGAATGTCATCATTCTTAATTTGGCTATAATTTTTACATTTTTCTTTAACATGTATGATTACTGTCCAACAAACACCCCCCGTTCAGTGCACAGTTTCTACCTTCGGGACTTGGTCTGGTTGTCAAAAAGAAAGTGGGGAGGGCGGTGTCTTTTTTATATTCTACAAATTTTCGTATCAATGTTTCTTCATGTGATTCTAATAAAATACCCCCTGGTGACATCAGTCTATGTGTTTTAAAGGCAGCAAAAGAGATGAATGTGTAAACCTAGTTATTCCCGTTTCCCATCACAATCTTAAAATGTCCCGATAAGCCTGGACATGTGTGAAACTTTTTCTTTGGTTTTTGTTTAGGATGCTTGATTATTTCATTAAGTCTTTCAGAAATCTTATAAAATATAGCTTATACATAAAAGAATTATCTTTGATATTCTAGCCAACCAGGGCACGCACTTGGGGATCGTGGACCCACACTGGTTTGCCAGGAACATGTTGGTAGTGGTGGCGGCGACGTTCCCGTGGTCTAGATTTGTCTAGGGTCACCTGGACGAAGGAAAAAAAAAACAACTACTTGGCCAGCTTCATGAAGATGTTCATCAAAAAATGTTTTAAAAAAATTGAATCTAAAGGGGAAGCCATATTGCTTCAAGCTTTTTTAAAAATATATTCTGTAATCAACATCGTTCAGTAATAAAATAATTTACTTTCACTTATTCTGATGTTGTTATTTCTATGGTAGTGAAAGTCATTGAGCTTAAAGTTCACTTATTGTACAGATAGAATATAAAGCATTGTGGAAAACCAATGGAAGTATTCTGATATACAAGTATTCACACAATTTAAGTCAACTTATACGCTATAAGATAGAGTTCAATTGTGTAGGCCAGATTACGACAGCCATCGATATTACTTCAGCAAACGCAAAGCTTTTGAAAAATCATTATCATAAACAAACTAAATTTCGCCAGCTGAAGCTCCCGTCCAGCACCTGATACAACACCCAGCTCTCGAGCTCCGCAAGACAAAAATGGTTTTGAAGAATAACGTGTCATTATTGTTTGATGATTGTTCCTTCATTAACAAACGTAAAGAATATTTTTTTGGAGGTAGAGGGGGGTGGTATGAGGTTTATGAGTTTGAGATGGATTGAGAGGAACAGTTGCACTGTGTAGGGATGATACATTTGTACGTTTTAGGTGGACTGAGTGGGAAAGTGTAACGGTGAATGGTGTTAAGTGGGTAGGTTGAAGGTGGGGCAGAGTGGGACATATTCATGGCCCGGGGGGGGGGGGGATAGATGGTTAAGTTTTAGGTAGATAAAAAGGGACGGTGTTATGATGGCGGGGGCAAAGTTGAAACGAGGTCAAGGGTTATGGGGATTAGAGTAAAACGGTTTAATGGTGGAGAGGTGTGTGTGTCTTTTAGGTGAACCGGGTCGGACAGTTTAATGGTGGAGAGGTGTGTGTGTCTTTTAGGTGAACCGGGTCGGACAGTTTAATGGTGGAGAGGTGTGTGTGTCTTTTAGGTGAACCGGGTCGGACAGTTTAATAGTGGAGAGGTGTGTGTGTCTTTTAGGCGAACCGGGTCGGACAGTTTAATGGTGGAGAGGTGTGTGTGTCTTTTAGGCGAACCGGGTCGGACAGTTTAATGGTGGAGAGGTGTGTGTGTCTTTTAGGCGAACCGGGTCGGACAGTTTAATGGTGGAGAGGTGTGTGTGTCTTTTAGGTGAACCGGGTCGGACAGTTTAATGGTGGAGAGGTGTGTGTGTCTTTTAGGTGAACCGGGTCGGACAGTTTAATGGTGGAGAGGTGTGTGTGTCTTTTAGGTGAACCGGGTCGGACAGTTTAATGGTGGAGAGGTGTGTGTGTCTTTTAGGTGAACCGGGTCGGACAGTTTAATGGTGGAGAGGTGTGTGTGTCTTTTAGGCGAACCGGGTCGGACAGTTTAATGGTGGAGAGGTGTGTGTGTCTTTTAGGTGAACCGGGTCGGACAGTTTAATGGTGGAGAGGTGTGTGTGT